CGGCACAAGGCACTCGGGCGGCCCCGGCCCTGGGGCACATGCTGGTGCCGGGTGCAAGGGCATCCCCGCCCCTGGCGTGCCCCAGGACACGTGGCCCTGCCCCCGGGCGCGTGAGTGGCCCCACCCCCAGGCACCTGGGAGCCTCTATAGGTTGGGGACCGCTGCAGTAAGGGATAACGAGCTCGACACAAAGGGAGACTTATGATATTCCGCTCTATCTTCACCTGTTTGCTTGTCCGCTCAATGGGAATTTCTTCCGAGTGGCCTCGCTCAAAAGCTGGTGTCCTAGTTTCATAAAACACATCCTGAGTGTGCTGAGTCCCCCAGGAAACAGACTCCTTGATCCCGCTCTCCGGGGCTGGCCTGGTGTAAGGGGGAGAGAAAAGGTGAACAGCTGTGCTAGGCGTTTGATTTAAAGAGCGCTGGAGCAGTCGGGGGGGGGAGGCACCTCTCAAGTCAAGATTGTATTGGGGAAAGGAAACACTGGAGCGGGGGAAGTGGCTGGTGAAGCTAGTAAGCCAGGGCTGGGCAAGATGCGGCCCGGGGGCAGGATCCGGCCCGCCTAACATTTTGATCCAGCTTGTGGATGGTATCTGGCCACTTTCTAGTTATATCCTACTGCCCGTGCCACCGAATTTCCAGGTGGTGGCTCTGGCAGCAGGCTCCTATTTAAAAGGCTCATGGCCGTGGTGCTAGCCTGCCAGAGGCCAGAGCCATGAGCCTTTTCAATAGCCACAACAACCCCGGCTGGCTGCCAGGCAATGCGGTAGCGGCGGGGGGGGGAGCCACAAGCCCTTTGCTGTGTTTTGAATTCAAAGCCTGCAGCCCCTGACAACTCTGGGGGGAGGCTAGTCCCAGGCCCTGCCCCTTCTGCCATAGGCCTCTCCCCTTCTGCCATAGGCCCCACCCCTTCCAGGGAAGAGCTAGCCCGTGACCACATCCGAAAATTAATTCTGTGGGCCCCTGCGAAAATTATAGCCTGCCCCTGGAGTAAACTGCAGGGCTCTTGAGCTTGGATTGACAGATGGTTTCCTCATTCATCCTGAGTGTGCCAGACCAGGGAGGTCCAACCTATACTGAGAAACCAGGGAACTACAGAGAAATCCCTCTGGAACGCCCCGGGAAGACTCACAGTGTGCCCCCGTTGTTGAGCGAGGCGGAACTTTTCTGGCGGAGGAAGGCTTTAGCGTTGTTGAACACCAGAGGCTGGGTTTGCTCGAGGGTTGCTTTCAAGGGGTGGAACAATGACACTGGTCCAGTCTGCAATGCGTAAAGAGAGGGCACCAATGAGAAAGCTACAGCTGCTCAGAGAACAAGTCGTGTGGACTTTCCTAGTCCAGTGCTTACCGGTGTCCCCATGATCAAAGCACTCCTCCGGAATCACAGCCACTAGCATTACGTGAGAGTAAATCCGTAAGTTTGGACTCTCCTTTAGCTCATAATTTTGGTCCCTATGTATCCGAGATGAGGCCAGTTTCAGGGAAAGTTTAACGGAACATTCACTGCCACTGGTATTCCCTCTGATCTTTTCCAGTCATGTGCAGAATAAATTTTGGTATGTGCACTGAAGCATGTGCAGATGTGCACGACTAGTAGAAACACACACTGCCAGCTGTTGGCACTGTGGGCTCTCTGCTTATCAGTTGGGTTGCACCTGAATCTCTCCTGGATGGCTGCCCAGCTTCCAGGGAATACTGGCTGCCAACTCCTTGCTGTTCACACTCGGGGCAAGCAGAATAGCAGCCTTCAGGGACATCAGTCTGGCATTTTGCATTTTGCACCAGTACTAGATTCATTTTTAAAAATGGTTCTTTCCCTCTCTCTGGGTCATTGCCATTATACAGCGGCCGAACCTTTTACAGTCCATGAGCCAGGCTGTTTGGGAGGAATGGTTTTAGTGGCACATCCTTTAGGAAGGAACAATCAGTTCCATACATACAAGATGGGAAGCGACTGTCCAGGAAGGAGCATGGCGGAAAGAGATCTAGGGGTCATAGTGGACCACAAGTTGAATATGAGTCAACAGTGTGATGCTGTTGCAAAAAAAGCAAATATGATTCTAGGTTGTATCAACAGGTGTGTTGTAAGCAAAACTCGTGAAGTCATTCTGCCACTCTACTCTGCGCTAGTTAGACCTCAGCTGGAGTACTGTGTCCAGTTCTGGGCGCCACATTTCAAGAAAGATGTGGAGAAATTGGAAAGGGTACAGAGAAGAGCGACAAGAATGATTAAAGGTTTAGAGAACATGACCTATGAAGCCAGGCTTCATGAACTGGCCTTGTTTAGTTTGGAAAAAAGAAGATTAAGGGGGGACATGATAGCGGTTTTCAAATATCTAAAAGGGTGTCACAAGGAGGAAGGCGAAAATTTGTTCCTCTTGGTTTCTGAGGACAGGACAAGGAGTAATGGGCTTAAAGTGCAGCAGGGGAGGTTTAGATTGGACATTAGGAAAAAATTCCTAACTGTCAGGGTGGTCAAACATTGGAATAAATTGCCAAGAGAGGTGGTGGAATCTCCCTCTCTGGAGATATTTAAGAACAGGTTAGATAGACATCTGTCAGGGATGGTGTAGATGGAGCTTGGTCCTGCCTTAAGGGCAGGGGGCTGGACTCGATGACCTCTCAAGGTCCCTTCCAGTCCTATGATTCTATGATTCTATGATCCATTTCCAGATCAATCGGAATAAAATAATATGGTCTCGAGTCAACCTCAAAAGGTGCCACAGCTTAAAGGGTCGGGTGCTACATCATATTGCAGACTGTGATGCCGTGTCGTGCACTGAAGATCTTTCAGTCTCCGTGATGCTGTGTGCACGTCAATCACCATAACTCTGCATAATCTGGGAGGCTGCTTTGCTCTATTTATTGTGCTTTTTACTATTTGTCTAGCATTTCAGTTACACCTGCCTGTATTGCCTAAAACATCATCCCACTCAAGCACAATGCTCTGTGTAGCCATCTAGGACAAGAACCCATCTTGCAGTCTCACACTTTCAGAAGTTACCTGGCTACATGCTCCCCAGCCCGCTCAGTTCTGCCCAGGGTGGGAAGTGGAAATGCCCAAACACCCTGCAGGGAGCTATTTTCAAGGAGTAACATTTTCAACAGAGCCGAAGTTCCATTTTTCAAAAGTGACAACACTCGAGAGCCTGTATCTCACTGACTTTCAATGGGTCCTAGGTTCCCAAGTGCCTACGAGCATGTGAGTGCTTTTGAAAATATTACTCAATTACAGAAGGAGCCTAAATCTCATTGACTTGTAATGAGGCGTAGGCTCCTAAGTCACTTTGGCTACAATTTCCAAAAACACCTCAGTATTTCCAGCCCTGCTGAAATTAGGAACATTAGAAACAAAATGAGAAAGTGTGCTGTCATGAGATTGTCTACTTCCAAGATGCTTGGGCAATTCAATAGCATCTCAACATTCGGGTGCTGGATAGAATGGAACCTCTAGACTTGCTGAGGGTTGCTAGCATGAAGGACCATGCAGCCCCTCCGAATCTACATGGGAGTGAGAAAAGAAAACAGCGTCTTGCTGCTGGGTACCTGGCAAAGACCTCCAGGTGGCTGGTGCGCTTGGTCCCTGCTGTTTTTATTCTGCTTGTAGAAGTCGAATATCATGAGTGCTGCATAGACCTTCCCCACAGTCATTTCATCCTCTGGATGAGGAGACAGGAGGTGAAATGCAGAAGGGGGAGTCACAGGAAGAGTGGAAACAAGCAGGGGGAGAGAAGGAATGAGTGTCAGCAATGGGAGGGAAGAGAAGA